GTCATCCGAACTTTAACGGAAAGCACACGGTCGGCCCCACATTCCTAAGCAAAGCCGACGCTTCCACCTCTCCGCCACCTGTGTCGCTATTTAAATTCTCACGTGCCATGTCACTCACGGCGGATTGCTCGCACGTGCCTGGTGCTCCTTATATATTTCCGCGGACTCTCATTCAATCCAGCGAAGAGAATATATCATTTTGCAGATTCTCTCGCCGGAATATTCCCTCCTCTCAGGTCAGATCAGGTCAGATTTTCTTTTCAAGAAAGAAACAGAATTTCATTCATTTAAATGATATTCGGAATCTGGATTGTCTGTTTTTCTCAATCTTTCATATGCATTATTTGGGTTCAAAAGGTTGTATTTTTGGATTTTTAGATGAGAGAATGATTTCGTTTCAACTGTTGTTACGTTGCTTTAATGGGGGATGTAAGGGGAAATGGAGGAAATGGAGTTGGAATCAGTTCTTTTTATTTTGTTTAGGTGGTGGGGAAATACTGACTTTACTGAGAAAATGTAAGGATATGTCTATGAGGGTAGTGAAGTGAAACTGAATATGGGTTTTGAATGTTGAAATTCCAATATCACTATTTCAATAGTCCCTATTTCCATTGTCTTCAGAATATTTGAACAGAATTGGAAAGTACCCACTTGGTGAATTCCTATAAAGTCTCAAACTTTTAGTATTATATGTTAGAAATTTTGTTAGTTGATTTTGTGAGGCTGATTTTGGATTCAAAATTTATATTTTCTGATTCTTTGATTTTCCTTGTTGATGATAATCTTGATAAAATTAGGTGATTCTTCTTTGCGGGCAAGAACCAACTCTTGGGGTTTTAAGATAGGAAGTCAGTTGAGTTTGTGTGGTCATGCACCTTGTCCGTGAGAATCTATTTATTGGGAACATAACAGATGCTGCAGAGGTCCTCCAAAATGGTAGCACCCAGATCACACATATACTATCAGTTTTGAGCTCTGCATCAATATCTTTTTTCACTGAATGGCGTAGCAGTCTCGCAATTCCTAGTAAGGAAATTAAGAAGGTTTTTGTAGGCGGGTGTGGGTCTGATGGTGGTTCAGCTTCTGCTGATGATGATTTGGTTGACTGTTCTAAGAATTGTTTGTCGCCCCAGAAGCTGTTGTACTTGTTGGAATATGCTGGAAAGGATTTGACGCTGGTTAGAATGGCAGTGCCTATTCGAGACATGGAAAGTGAGGACTTGTTGGATTATTTGGATGTCTGTTTAGATTTCATTGAAAAGAGTAGGAAAGAGGGATCTGTCTTAGTGCATTGCTTTGCTGGAGTGTCTAGAAGGTACAATCTGTCAATTCCCACCTATGTTAATGCTGTCTCAAAATGGTAGGCCAAATGGTATAGACTTATTTGCATGTGGTATTGATATTTAGTACATCAGTGGATATAGTTAGTGAATTTTAGTAGAGGACTGTCTGTCTTTTATTTTGTTGTTCTGATTGGAAGACCAATCAATGATCTTTCAAACTGTTTGACTAATTGTTAGATCAAAATTTACAGTGTCTGATCAAGAATGTTATGAGCCTATGATTGGATTTTAGAAACTTTGGTACAACTTTCAGAAGTGATTACAGATAAATTTGCAACTCTCACCATTTATTCTAATCATTTAGCAAAAAAGAGAGAATACATAACAATTTAATGGACAATGTCTCACCATTTAATGTCTTGAGGTCAATATATGTGTATACAGTTGACCATGGTTTATTAGTTAAAAGGTTTGCCATTGCTTAGGTTTTGGTTCTTTCACTTACTTTGTTCCATGTAATCTTTTTAATGGACTTTATGAATTTTGCTAATTTTAAAACATCAAAAAATAATACCCAAAACATTCAATTGATACATGCTTTTCACCACATCCAAGCTGGCTGAAAGACATGGTGACATGACCATCAATAAAAGAATCTGAAAGTTGCATGTTTGAACCCATATTTAATGGAGATTAAGGGCTTATGAATATTACTTTGAAACTGTTTACCAACTTCTTTGGTGATGTAGTGGTTATCCTTAGCACATATAAGTAAGCAAGGACCATGGTTTTACACCCTTATTTGATGTGCTTGTTGCAGTGCGGCTATCATTACAGCATATCTGATGAGAACTGAACAATTATCTCAAGAAGGTCTGGACAAATACATTGTTTTTTTGTGTTTCTCTGGGTCTACAGATTGGTACATGCTTGTGGCTTCTATTTGTTGACCTTATATTTTTCTTTTTAAAATTTTGTTTCTTTTTCTGATGATATTAAGGTATCTTTTGTTAACTTCTGTTCTATCTGTTATCATTTCCCTTTTTTTTGCCTGTGCAATTTTGCAGATGCACTTGAGTCTCTGAGGAAAAGCTGTGAGTTTGTTTGCCCCAATGATGGCTTTTTGGAGCAGGTAGTGTGAAAGGATGCCATAAAAGTTCATGATTTATATGGAGGCACTTGATGGTGATTCTGGGTACTAGTTTTCAACTCCTTGGTGCTGTAACGTAACTAGAGTTTTTTTCTCCCTATTGTAGTTAAAAATGTTTGAAGAAATGGGCTACAAGGTTGATCATTCCAACCCCATATATAAGCGATTTCGCCTGAAAGTGTTGGGTACACTCCTTCTCTCCATTTCCCTCCAATATTTTTCTTTAATCCTCCTCAAGAATATTCTACCTCTTAATGGATCTAGTTGTTTGGAATGTCAGTAGACAGTAGTCCATTCCATTTTGAGTCTTCAAACAGTGAGACAAAAGGGTCAAACTTCTAATAGATTCTATGATGGTTATGCCCTTATCAGTGTATGCTTCAATTTGAATGTAGGATCATCATGGATTGCCCTCTTATCCATGGAATAATGGGTAATGTTTGTCCATTGTTCTTGTTAGACAGTCATGGTAGTGTTTTAGCTTTTCTAAAAGCAAATTTATTTTACCAGCCTTCTATATATTAATTATTTAGATCTAAGTAGAATGCATTACTGATATATTTTGGCTATCATACTGTTTTGATTTAAAAATTTCCTAGCTCAGATCTGACTTCATCTATCTAGCTACATCAAAACATTACAGGTTATCCCTGGGAAGCACTGGGAGTTTCTGTTTACCATATAACCATGCTGTAAACAGTTTACCTATCAACACTTGCATTCCATCAAATCTTCATATTTACAATTCACTATAATAAAATTGTCCTTAAAAATACAAGATCTTTTGTCAGTTTGCATCCATTATTAATTTAAAGCTTGTTATGTTTCTTTTGCATCCCATCTTCCATCCATACCAACATGTAAACTGGAAAAAAAATGTGAATTCCTGATGCATGAAGTTATCATTTGATATTGTGTTTTTTTGTCTCTTGCAATCAGGTGATTCTTATAACCGTGGGGAGAAAATAGACAGTTCTAAATTAGGTGCCGATCCTGGTATGCCTAAAGAAGGTTCCTCTGTCTCAGAGGCATCTTCTAAGGAAGGAAAGAATCACACTGTTGCTTACCGATGCAAGAAATGCCGAAGAGTTGTGGCGTTACAGGATAATGTTGTGGATCATATTCCAGGAGAGGGTGAGACATCTTTTGAGTGGCACAAACGGAGGAGTGGCAATCCGTTTAACAAGTCTGCTGAGAGTGAATGTTCATCAATCTTTGTTGAACCTTTGAGGTGGATGACTGCAGGTCAGAAAACATCTATGATCCTCATTATTTTTCAATTTGGGCTCTCCCCCATGCTAGGCCAAGGCTTCATTATTTGCACTCACGATGGTGAACTTTTTCCATCTAGCCATCTCATTGCTACAAAAATACTTGGCATTTTGTAGCTTCAGTGGAGTTGGATATAATTTAACTTCTGTAGATATCTTATTTGATTGTTCTCCACTTGATATCCTCCGTTTCATTCAGTTGAAGAAGGTGCATTAGAAGGGAAGTTGTGCTGCGCTCATTGTGAAGCTCGCTTGGGTTACTTCAACTGGTCAGGCATTCAATGCAGCTGCGGAAGCTGGATCACCCCCGCCTTTCAGCTCCATAAATGCCGAGTGGACATCAGCACAGTTTAATATTCACCATTCCACCAGAGCAACAGATGTTCCCTCAACTTAACCCCTCCCGGACTACCACGTTTGTCAAAAGGTCATTCGAATAATATGGACCTCTCATATAAAACATATAACATCAAAGCCGAGGTATTGTTTATAGAAGAAAACTAGAAAAAGAGCTGCAAAAATGTTTGTTATTTTTGCTTGCGGCTTGCTGAGGTGCTGCTGCCTTGCCCTGCAACGTCAAGTAAAATGCTGGCTTATTTTGTGCAATACAATCCAAGTTTTTATTTTGGCTTTGTGGACTTGTGGACCAATTTGCTTGGTTATAATCTGGTGTTGCGGTTAAGCTGTCATGGATATGTTTTGCACCTCAGCCGTTTCCCCTTGTATTATCACTTTAATTTAATTAGCTCCTTGGCAATTTTCCATGACTGATCACTTTAATTTTCAGAGAATTGTGAGTGAACATAACTTTGTCAGATTCCCCTGAAGCAGAAAGTCATGCATCAAAGTGAATTGTTCTGGAGATGGGATTTAAAAAGACCTAATTGTGGAAAGGGAAAAGAAATTTGCAGAAAAAAATTGAAGGGAAAAATGCAGTGCATTCAAAATGTTAATGTGTATTCAGATAGGTAGGGCTAGCCTTAAATGAGCCATCCAAAACATACCATTTACAAGTTTGCAGCAATTAACACGCTCAGCATCTGAAAAAGGGTCTATATATGGCCTGAGTCTTTCAAAGGCATGATTGTTGGGTAAACAATTTTACAAACTCCTAGTTTTCAGTCACACTGCTGCTACATAGATTCTAGTCCTGAAGTTGATAGCTACAACCGAAAAAGAAGAAGACAAAATGAAGGGAGGAATGATCCTCAGATGATATCATGCCAGCCAAAAAGATTTCCACTAGACAAATCAGTCTTGTCATCAAAATGAACACCTGTTTTGTCCTTGCGTCTATAGGAGGAAATACCTATCTGCATGAGACTTTCAATAGTAACATCTGAATTGAATTAGTGAGACTGCGCTTCCAGAAGGATGTTTGTAGCCATATTGATGTCATTTCCGGCATGAACCAGTGCCTGCCTGGCTGAGTCCCTGTCGAAGCCCATAGATACCAGTGTTGAAATGGAGTCCTCTGGTGGCCCTATGGCTGAAGGCATGGGAGAAGGATAGGTTCTCTGAAACAAGAAGGATTGAATTGTTTTATGACAAAGAAATGATTCAGGCAGAATGAACATATAATATCAAAGCTCCAATATAACAGTGCAACATTAAATCTATTAATAAAAATAATTCCTTCTTCTCCAGTATTTAGCTTCTAAGTTCAGAAACTGAGGCCAAATGAAAAACTGTCCCAGCACAACTCTCTATCTGCTGCTTACTCTAGCAAATTTGACTAGGCCAAAAGGTAAAACCAAGAACAAAAACTGTATGAACCAAACTTATGAAATCAGAATCTTGGCAAGGGAGGCAAGATGCCTGAACCATAAAAAGCAAGCTTCATAATAGATGCACATCACAGAAACATTTTAAGAGCTTTATTAACAAAGAATTCCAGCACCTATTCCAGCAATATCATCCCTGACCTTTAATAGGAAGGACTATAACAAAAACAAATAGTGCTCCGATGTCTGATGTGAGTAGAGTTACTGCAGTTTCAATTAAGCAACTATATAATTTTAAGCAATATGGAAAGATAAAAACATTTAGCAAAAATACTTGCCTCCACTTGGTGAGTTGTGTAGGATGGTGCAGTTCCAACATTCCTAGTTGGTGCTGCTGAAGTACCCACAGAAGGCCATGAAAGCCGTGAAAAGAATGATGCAAAACACTCAGGGAACTGAAATGCAGTGACAATAATAATGAATTACTTTTGAATCACAATATACATAAAAAAATGACTCTAAAACAGTTTAAACAAATATCACAAATAAATATTTAAAGATAAAAGAAAGGAAAAACACTATGGGTCTTAAAAATGCACATATGGATGCTCAGAGTCTAAGGCACAACTGCATTGCCTTAGGACACCTCAACGGAGATGACCAAATGGAAAAGAATAATAATAGTAGAAATAATCACTTTATGGAATTGATTTGATTAGTCAAAGTATCTGTTACACAGGACCACCTGGTGAACTTCACATGCAGCAAAGATTATTCTGTCTAAAATCGAATTGAGACCTAACTAGTATACGAACTCAATACAAGCTTATTGCCTCCACATACAAAGATAAGAAAAGCCTAGCAATGAGAAAAGCAGGTTTCTCGATGGTACCTAAAATTTGTCGATGAATAGCAGCAGAAAGGAAAGATAAGAAAGCAATAAGTTTGATAATTTAAGCATCCAAGTAGACAACCTTTGCCTTGCGGATGCGGAAGAAGTTTAGACGATATAAAGAACCAGCAAGGATGCCACAGATCCCTGGCAAGATGGACCTTTTCCAAGATGATAGAAGAAGCTGCAAGCGAGAGACTGAACTTATATCTTTGGCACTGGCAGACAAGACATAAATCATAAACAGTAAAATCCACATTTTCTACCTGAAGACCAGCTAGATATATGAAAGACTTATCAGAGAACTGAACACCAAACACACGGAACCTTGTTGAAACTGGGATGTCCAGGTAAAATGGTATGAAGGAAGCAAATACAAGGCCATATGGTCCAGAAGTGAGCAGGTTAGCTGTAGGATCTGCAAAATGTAAAGAATAACTTAATATTCGGTGACCAACAGTAGGTGAATTATTTAATCAATTTCACCCAGTACCAAACAGCAAGGAAAGCCATCCACCCCAAAGAACCATAAAAACAGCAATGTTATTAACAAATCTTCCAATTTTAAGTGGCCAGAGAAAAAGATTAAACATTGATTTTGTTATTAGAAGGTAAGAATACAGAGAAGCATTCAGTGCATACCTTTAAGGAAAGCTAGAGCCAAAACTTCAAAGAGGAATGAAACCATTAACGAGAACAAGATGAAAACCTGCATAATTAGGAGGGAAATATTTTACTGAGTGAGGAAAGACATATACCAGCTTCTCACAAGTATTAGATGCTAGAAAAGATTGAGATAGAAGGGTCAAAATTATTTTTCTGGCTAGAAATAAAACTTCATCTTAATTATTTGCTATGTGAAATTAATGATTGTTCTGTCATGACCTATTGATTGCAGATTGTCCCACATCAAGCTCATAAATGGCTCATTAATCTTATGAAATCAAGTTTCCTAACAGACTTTGACAATAACTTTAGAATAGGTGGTCCAATAAGAGTTCTGACACAAGGAACACTGATTTACTTTGTGCAGACCACACATATTATATAAGATAGCTGAGACCAACTGGAGTGATCTCTAAAGGGCTTTTCAAAACCTTTCCCTAAAAACAATTTGGGATCGTCAGTTGTTCCTCGTGTCCAAATGAAAGAAATCATAAAAACAACACCTCATATGGTTTACCTTTCCTTATTATTTTCAAATTTTCAAATTGTTGATTGCTTCACATCAATGGTGGAGAAAACACTTTCCTGGTTTCCACCTGTGTTTCATCAACTTTCAGTACTTTCAAAACCTAACTCAATCTATATCACTGTGTCCCTCTCTCTATGCCAGATTTGTTAACAGTATATCCCATTTAGCCACATAACAAAATAACCAAATAAGGCAGTGCAATGAAATAACAATACTCAGAGAGTATAAACCGTATAATTACTCACCGCGCACTTATTAGAACCAATCTGTCTCTCGAAGACCCTGAAGTAGTATAGCAGATACAGTCCAAACATCAGTTCTGGGGTAGAGGAAAAGGCAAACATAGATCCAATTAACTTTGAGATACGAAGCCTTCCAAAAATATCCTGCAAGGATGATGAAAATAATGTTTTTATTATTAAGGATAATTTTGAAGAGTGCATGCATCTATGGCCAAGAAAAAGTGCAAAGATATTTATTTTGAGGTTGCTGAGCACATAATATTATTAAAACAATTAAAAAGAAGTAGAGAACATAGGGTACAATTTTCACATCTATTACAGAAAGAAATGGCAGCTTTTGGTGACCAGCAAAAATGCATAATTCAATTACATTGATGGAGGTAAAGCTCGTCCAAGATAATAGGAAAAAGGGGGTTCAAAGCACAAATATTATTTGGTGCTCTGATAAAAATTTAAAATATCCTCAAGGATAACTTTGAAAGGCAAAACATGCAGAAGATGGGAAAGCAGAAACTTAAGGCAAAAAGAATGTGATAAATACCTCTCACCTTAAGTTCTTAAAAAGAAAGCAAGTCCAATGGATACCAAAAACATAGAAAAACAGAGAAATTGAGAGAAACCCACAGACATAAAACAAGAACTGAAGTGACTGAACTATGCATACCTCAGCTATCCTCCATGTACACATAAACTAGCTACTAAGAGACTCAAAATTCAAATATAATGAATTAACAGCCGACTTAAAAAGTGCAACAGAAAGTCACGCTAACCCTATAGCTGATGCATGAGTATCCAAATAAGTGACATATCCAATTACAAAAACTATCAAAACTGAAAATGACAATATTATGCCTCAAAAACTCCATTGACTACCTACACTTGCTCTACATAAAAAATACTAGATGTAATCCAAATTCACTTCAAACATAATTCCTCTAAAAGAAGAAGATCCAGATTACAACAGAACCAAATCAAATAAAAACCACCCAAATAATCCAGCAACAAGCAAATGCTATGGTTTTCTTTTTATGCTTCCCGACACAAATCAGAACTCAATTTACAAAAAGGCAGCAGTTAACCAGTAACCAACTAATATGATGTGTTACAAAACCCTTGTAAGGCAAATACAACACACATTGTAGAAAATAGCATGGACCCAATTCAAAGTTGATAATTAAGAATCCAAAAGCTGGACCACCTAAAGATGCTAATAGGGTTTTATCAACAAACAAGCCAAAAGTGAAAAACTAATACCATTTGATCTCGATTCAGATTTCCGAGCTATTGCCAAGAAAATAACACAGAACCCACTTGCAATTACAGAAAAGCAATAACTCTTAGTAGTTAGAACACGATTAGGCACCCAAAAGAGGATTAGAAAAACGCAGAGTATGATACAGACCTCATAGGACAAACCAAGATTGTTGGAACGGCCACGGATCCCAAAGAAGATGGTGAAAATAGCACAAACAATAACGAAAATCTTTGTGACTGGGGCATTGTCTGCAACACAAAACCCAAAAGACAATCAATTTAAATTTGGGTATAATGAATTGAAAGATGATAGATAAACAAAAGGGTATCTGCGAAAATGGAAAAACATGGGGTTGAAGAAATTGCACGTACGGAAACCGGAGGGACCACCGTTCATCTTCTCGGTGGAATGAGGAGGAAGGAAGCGATCACCTTTGTTTCGTGCAGATTCTGTACTTGGTATTTGGTTTGGGAATTGGGAGGTAGAACCAGAGTCCGCTCTCAAATTCCCTTTTCCTATTAGTTTATTCTGACTTCAACTCTCTTTATTCTTTTTTCTTACAATTTTTTTTACGAGAGAGTTTAGCTTGTGCTACACCGAAATAAAAATCATATGAAATTTATAATTTTAAAATATAATGTATAATTATATAATTAATTTTTATTTAAAAATATATTTATAATATTATATATTTATTTAATAATATATTATAATTATAAATT